TTGGACACATTCTGTAAGTTAGCCCATTTGAGGTACCTTAGTTCAAAAATTGTTGCCCTATTATGCACTGTTTTGCCCAGTTGAAGGTTACAGACACGAGAGTTTTAGTAATAATAGATATGCCCACTATCAAATCTCACTGTAAGTGCTCTGAGATATAAACCAAACCTCTATGCATCAGGCCTGTGATAATTTGGGACAAGCCCATGGTTGTCATGGCAGCCATGAAATCCAAGCCAACTGATAACCCACCTGTAAAGACTCTAAGTTAAAATTGCCCAGTACTATCATTCTATGTGTTTCAGTTACTGAAACTGAGGTGAGGTCAAGCAGCTTGGGAAGAGATGCTGCTGTGCAGCTGGAAGAATGGTACAACTGGAGCATCCTCAGTTTGTGCTGTTGGAATAACTGCACATATAAGGCCCAAGTTGTTAGACTGGACAGGGTTCCACTTGGTTTGGCTGAAAAGCAAAGCTGCTTGTGTCAATGTAAGTCTTGCATAAAGCACAGGAATGCAAGCAGGAATAGGGGCTTAGTGAAGGGTGCATATAATATTAGATGTGTTTTAACTGGTTTTAAATGTGTTGGTTATTCTGTCAGAACTCATTTGTCCATATAATGTCTGAATAGTAGTCAGATAGGTGCCCTCATCCTGGAACTTGGCACTCTCACAGGAAATCCAGACTAGATTTACATAAGATACTTCAGAATCAGAACCTCCTGAAAGAAGAGGAGAGTTGTTTCTAATAAGCTAAGAACCTAATAGTATTTATATGCTATGCCCCAAGATTCCAGTCCTGAGCCTTTTCTCTCTGGGAACCTCCAGTTTATTTGTTAGATTTATTTTCTTCACTACAAGGGGACAATCCTTGCTGATTTGAGGAGTGACGCTGTAGCCTCTTTAGATAGCTCCATTTTGGAGAAATACTTGGGAGAGTAATTCCTTATCAACTTTTGAAAATAAAAATTCTCCAGACCATTTCAGTCTGGAGAATACTTTCTACTCTACAGGAAGACAGAGTCAGTACAAAGAACGGAGTCGGTACTCTTGTCTTGATTTTCATGATTGATCGTGCTCTCTATGGTGGCAGCACCTAGTCAAGCTTGACTGATCTTCAAACAGTGAAGCAGGGTGGGACCTGGTTAATACTTCCATGGGAAACCATTAGAAAATCTCCAGGCAATAGGAAGCTGGAAAACAACATAGTAGAAGGGAACTGCAAACTACTTCTGTATTGCTGCCAAAAAATAAAGTACCAATATGAACAAGTCAAAGAAACCAAGCTTGACCTGAGGATGTTTTTGTCTTTATTTATTTATTTTTTAGGGTGGGATGGATATTGAAGACAACTGAGTTGTTTTTATTCATTGCTTTGTTAAAATTTCTTCTGTATTGATGAAAATTATGTCCGGTTGTGGACTATTACTGTTTTATGTAATTTATTTTATTAGTTGTATTCCACCCTCATAATTATTGATATAAAGTAGGTTAGAAACAATTTAATGGGTCAACAGAAAGAAATTAATGGCTTTAAATTTATAAAACTATAAAATACATCTCACTTGTAATGTATTGCAATCAATTTGGAAATTAATTGCTTTTCCATTTTATTCCTCCTCCTTCTCTTGTCTACAGACATGGAATAAAAGATATATAATTTCATTTTCACATCAACAGATTTCTCAGGAAACTCAGATTGACGGAACTCTATTTCCTTTTCTAAAATTTACATTTTAGAGAAATAAAACAAAAATTAGAAAGAAAAAAGTTACTGGCAAAGACAGACATCTTCTGTTGCTTTGCAGTTATCCCCTGCAGTTCTGATGATTAACTGGCCAAATTCCACACTATTGCCATAAAAAAGGGAACAGCAAGG